GTGCTGGCAGGCGTCGCCCTGTCTGGGACCCTCACAGCTCTGCTCAGCCTTGAGGGGACGCGGGTTCAAGGTCACTGGAGGCCCCGAGACCGATCTGCAGACCAGGTATCTCTGGCCTCGGGATTCCCAGCTGACTCTGGGTGGATTTGGGGCGGGACACCTTCCTGTTGGGCGGGCCATGTGGGTCAGCTCTGCTTGCTGGAACTGGGGAGCAACGTGCGGAAACCCGGTCATTCGGGACCCGCCACACTCAGTGGGCCCGGCGCCCTCCAGCGGCCAGTAGGAGGAGTGCAGCGGAGCGGGCCTCTGCTGTTCTGGGCCCCTGCGGGGTGGGGTGCAGGAAACAGGAGCAACCTCGGCTCCGGGCAAGCCGAGGTGGGGTGGTGCAGGAGGGACCGAGAAGGTTTGTCTCCCTCGCCCATCTCCTGCAGGTCAAAGATCCACCCTCGGGGCATCGCAGGGCTCGGGCATTTCCCAAGTCTGCAGGAGGCGGCCAGGCCCTGTAGGTTGCGCCCGATCACCACAGAGCTCCGGACACAGTGCGGCTGAGACGGTCAGTGAGGCCGAGGGGCTCTGGGCGGCGTCCTGAGAGCCGAGGTCGCCCCTTGCTGGGGCCACAGCCCCGCCCCGCCTTCCACGGCCACTTCAGATCTGCCTGCCCCGCGGCCACACCTGCTGCGCAGACCCGGGTCTCAGGAAGGCCGGGACCACAGCAGCGCCAAGCCGGGAGCCGAGGTGTCCACCCCTGCTTGTCCGGACCCACAGAAGCAGGGCGGGAAGGGGAGGGTCAGCTGTGGGAGGAGCAGGCCTTGCCGAGGCCCCGGGCCCGGTGACGGGGCTGAAACCTGGCTCCTGCAGGGCCAGGCCTGTGGGGCTCAGGCGCCCTGCACAGCCTGGAGACGGTGCCCAAATCCTGCTGCCAACAGCACGAGGTGCGCGCTGCTTCCCACCTCGCCCGCTCCGGGCCTCCGCCTGGATCTCCATCCTCCACTCCTGCCTGAGACCCATCACGCAGTCCCTGGCCGAGCTGGGTCCTCAGGCGGACGGGTCCCCTGCGTCCACCCGCCCAGGGCTCCTCGTCCTGTGCAGGACCACGGAGTGAGTATCCCTGGCTTTGCAGGCCACACGGTCTTTGTCCTTGTGGCGCAAACCGGATTTGATCCACTGACTGCCGTTTTCAGCTCCTGTCTCCACACCGGGAGGCCCTGGGGCCATCAGGCCAAGGTCTAAGCCCCTGTGGAAAATGTGCCGAGAGCCCACCGCCTATGGGCCTGGGTCCTGATGCGGAACAGGGCAGGGTCCCTGAGGACGGCCCACCTCAGCCCTCACTTTCACCGCGGTGACCGCGGTCCTGTCTGTAAGGCTTTTGCTTCTCTGATGGTGGGTGCGACGAACGCCACTGACCAGTGCCCTCTGGTGGCTGCAGGGCGTTACAGCGGGTTCTCAGCGTGTCTGCTGCCGTGCTGGTCCTGTGAGGTAGGGACGCTCCTTGCAGAGGAAAGGGGAAAAAAAGATGGGGACCCCCGGAGGCAGGGGAAGAAAGGACCAATTTCTCATTTCATCTTTTAAGATCAGTAACTTGGCACTCTGCCCTCTGCGTGTAACCGTGAAACAGTCCGGGCTCCCTCCGGGCCCTCCACCACTTCTGGGCTTGTCTGTCTGCTCTCCCTCCCTCTAAGTTTCCACTTTAAAAATTGTGGCAAAATATACCTAGCACAAAATTTTACATCTTAACAAACTTTGGCACTCTATGTAACTTGTGAAATTGCTACTCGACACCCATTGTTTTTGTTTTTTGGTACTGGGGATCAAACTCGGGTCCTTGAGCTTGCAAGGCAGGTGGCGGAACCACTGAGCTAAACCCCTGGCAGATTTACTAAATATAATGAGTATGAAGAAACTATTTTTTAACTTAGCCCTCACCAATATTAGTTTCTAAAGAATAAACCTTATCTATGTAATAATTATGGTGAGAACTATTATACCAATTATTGTACCTTTCAAACATCCCACAACAGATACCTCACAGTTGCAGATAATGGAATTGGCCATTTGTGAGATAAAAAGTGGGGTTTTCCCCCTGGCTTTATCAGTAATATAATATCTGCATTATGTAAACATGAGAAAAACTGAGGTTTAGGGTTGCTAGATTTCTAATTAGAAAATAACACATGAGCTAGGCATGGTGGTGCCTTGCTGGCAACACTTGGGAGGCTGATGCAGAAAAATTGCTGCAAGTTTGAGGCCAGCCTGGACTATGTAATGATTTCAAGGCCAGCCTGAACTACATGGTGAGATCCTGTCTCAAAAAAACAAACAAACAAACAAACAAACAAAAAAACATATGAACTATTATATTTATTACAGCTAAAAATTTAATAACAAGAGAACTGACCTTAAAACTACATGCATTTTTATAGCAAAGGACCAAATCAAAGAAAAATAAACTGCAAATTATCTCAGTGTCTGCAATTTAACTTTTCCTAACCCATTGTCCAACTTTTTGGATGTTTTTCATTTAAAAAAGAGAAAGAAAAAGACCAAATAGACTTCAGGTAAATTTAGCCCAAGAACAAC